GCCGTCTCGGGCCGTCGGACGGCCGAAAAAAGGCAAATGCCACAATCCTTCAAACGCTCCTGGGAAATCAATGACTTTAGCCTTTTCGGGCCTTCCTGGAGGCCCTCTTGGAGGCCTCTTGGGCCGTCTTGGGCCATCTTGGGGCCGTCTTCGGCCGTCTTGGTGGGCTTCTGGAAGCCCCCGGAAGGCCCGCGGAGCCAGCGCGAAAGCAGCGCCCAACACCTTCGCTCGAGACCGCCGGAGGGTGGGCCCCACGGACGCCTCCTGCCCCACGGACGCCTCCAGACTTTGGGCCCTCTCCGTCCCGGTTGCCCTCCCGCACCCCCCCCCCTTGGTCTCCTCCTCGGCCCCCCCATCCCCCCGCTGCCCTGCTCTTCCCCCCCCCCCGCCCCCTCTGCTCCGGCCCTCTCGTCTTGCCCTCGCCCGCCCGGCCTTCCTTCTCCCCCGTGCCCCCTTCTCCTCCCCCCCGCCGCTCTCCCCCGCCCTTCGGGCCCTCCCCCGCGCGCCCCCCCAGCACTCCGCGCCCTCCGCGTTCCTCCATTCCCCATCAAGCTCCGCCCTGCCCAGCCGCGAACCGCCCCCCGTTTGCCGCTCTCCCCGTTTCCCCGCATCCCCCCCAAACCCGCACTCCTGCCTGTCCCGTTCTTTCCTAATTATCTCCCCGCGCTCCTTCCCGCGCATCCTCATCCTTCCGCCCTCGTCCGCGCCTCCTCGCGCTCGTCCTCGCCGCTCCGCTTTCCGCGCCCATCCCCGTGTCCTCCCAGTTCCTCCGCGCTCCGTCGCGCTCCTCTCCGTCCGTCTGCACTCTGTTCTCACTTTCCGCTCTCCCGGCTGTTCCGCATTCCCCCCGCGCCTTCCGCCCCCCCCCCCGCCCCCACCCCGCTCTTCCCAATCCTACCGCGCCGCCCCCCGCTACTCCGCATCCTTCCGCCCCCCCTGGCCCTCGTCGCGCCAGTCCTCGTTGTTCGGTCTTCCGCAGCCCTCCCCGCGTTCGGCGCTCCTCGACGCCCCCCCCTGCCCCTCCGCGCCCCTCCCCAGTCCGCCCCGTTCCGCCCCGCCCCTCCGGCGCCCCTCCCCATGCCCGCCCCATCCCTCGCGCTGCGCCGCATCCCCCCCCGCCCCGCTCCTCGTCTCGGCCCGCCTTGCCGCCCTTCCCTCTCCGCTCCTCCTCCCCGCCGCCCAACCCCCTAATATTATCCACTTCCGCGGGCCGTCCCCCCCCCCCCTTCCCTGCTCTCCGTCGCCCCCCGCCTGCTGCGCCGGCCCGCCCGTCCTCGCCCCCCCTTGCCCCCCCCGCCCCGCCCGCCTCTTCCGGCCCCCGCCCTGCGCCCCCGCAGACGCCGCGCGCCGTTCCCCTGCCTCCCCGCGCCGTCGCGCGTCATGGGCCCAGGTCGGGCCGCGGCCGGTTCCGCGCCCCGCGCCGCTCGCCAGGCCTCCCCCCTTGGCGTCGGCGCCGTGTGGGTCCCTGGGCGCGCTCGGCGAGGGCGACGCTCGGCCAGCGTGTCCCGGCGCCTTCGCGGCCCCGGCCGCGCTGCGCTCTCGGAAGTCCAAACTTCGACGCCGAAGGCGACGGCGTCCTCTCCGCGCGCCCGCGTGAACAAGCTTCACCAGAGGCGTTCCGATGTTCTTGGCATCGCTCGGACGCGTGCATTTTTTCTCGGCGAGATCCATCGAGGACCATCCTGGACCACCGAGCGCAAAAAACACGCACGAAGCCGAAAAGCGCACAGGAAATGGACGTCAGAGCGACGGCAAGTGTCGCGTCCAGCGGGACCACGCGCGCCGCGCGCATGGCGAACGGGCAGAACGGCCGTCGCGCGCCCGCCAATGCTGTCAGGCAGCGCGACGCGGACCGCGCGCGCGCCGAATTCCACGCGAAGCGAGTTTGCTTCCCACGCGTTGGGCCGAGTTGGCAGCTGCGTCGAGGCGAACGGTCGACTTGGATTCACCGCGGCCCGTGGAGATTCAGCGAAGCAGGATGCCAGGGCCAGCCGCCACAAGAGTACGGCAACTACCCAGATCAGCCTCCGGCGCGACTGGCAGTATCAGGTGACGGCGGCAGGGGGCATGGAGGCGGCAAAGGCTATCGACGCGGAGACGCACGGCAACGCGCCGCGGATGCGCGGCGGCAGTTCTTCGAAGACCAATGACGGCGCGTTGCTGCAGTTGTGCGAGTACTGGAGCCCTTGACCCGTGATTCGAACGCACGGGGGCCACCGTGGTCGGCGGTCGGGGGCACTTGGCAACGGCTCATCGCCAGACGCTCTTGACCGCGGCACTTTCCGACCCGCCTTCGCCGCGCGCCCGGGGTGCCTTGCCCTGCAAGGTCCAACGCCGGCGCCCATGGACATGGCAGAGGGTAGAGGTAGGCAGAACGCGGCCGTGCGCAACGCTTATTATGCCGGGCACGCCACGGAGGAGTTCCATCGCCTATGGCACGTGCGAGTTACCGACCGCAGCATGATGGTCACCACCCACCAACCCACCCCAACCCAACCCGAAGGCCCCGATTTGCCCTCCATTTCCAGCGGGGGGGGGTCGGGGGACGTTGAAAAAACACATGGAACCCGTACCACCCCCAACCCGAAATTGGGGTCAAATTCGGGTCTTCGGGTTGGGTTGGGGTGGTCTGCTAGGTAGTCAGATGGCGGGCAGTCACGTCGAAGCCGCGCCGCGGCTCATGGGAGTCTGCTGCCCGCGAGCGCGCCCGCGTCGCCTGGCGCCTGCCGTCTCGGCGGGGGCCCGCCGCGCTTCCGCGGCGTCGGCGGAGCCGTCGCGGCGCTCGCAGGCCCGCGCGGCGACGCACTGCTCCCGCTCCTTACGCTCGCAGCCCTGCCGGGGGCCGGCGGCGATGTCCCATCGGAGGGAATGCCCATGCTCTGCGAGGCGGCTCGCGGGTCGCGCGCCCACGGGGCTCTCGCGAGGGACGACGGGTTGGCTTCGGCGCGCAATCGCATCCAGCGTTCCACGCGTTTCGAGGAGACCGGCGCGCACTCGGTCTGGCGTGCATGCCCGCGAACGAAGTCATTTGCCCGCCATATAGGTGGAATTTCCAATCTCGTCATATCTGGGGCGCCTGGTCTGAGATTGCCGAGCGGCGGGGTCGCGAGAGTGGCCGACGGTCGGCGGGTGAAATTTTGGCGCCGCGTCGTTCCGCAGGAAGGACTTCGGGCGAAGGCAGACTGATCCTCACCAGAGTCGCCGACGTCGTCATTGCCATTGTCACCGCCATGGGCTTAATCATCGTCGTCGCCCTCCCCATCGCAACCTCCGTCATCAGCGTCGTTGTCGATGGCGCCGCCCTCGTCAAGTTTCTGCGCACGCTTCCGCGCTGCCCTCGCCGTCGCCATCGCCGTCATCGTCGCCAGCGTCATCGTTGCTGCTGTCGTTGCGCATCGTCAGCATCGACATCATCGCCGTCATCGTTGTCGCCGGCGGCATCGCTTCCGCCATCGCCACGGACGTCGCCATGCTGTCGCCGCCGAACTGAGTGTTGCCGACGCGTTGCGGGCGTGTCGGCTGGATCCTCATTATTCCTCATTCGTGCGTTGGAGGTGGCCATGCAGCGGCGCGGTCAATACGACGTGCACAAGGTCGATCCCGCCGCGTGGCTTGCGCATCCAGAGTTCGCAAAACTCACCGTTTCGGGCTCGCGCTTGCAAGCCTGCGCATGTGGATCGCAGGTTCCCCAATCAAAGCTTGCCTCTGCAGGGGTCCTAGCGGATTCATATGGTTAGGTTAGGTTTGCCGCCGATTTTCGCCGCACGCCCGGGTGCCCAGGTGCCCGGGGGTGCCCGGGTGCCCGGGTGCCTGGGGGTGCCCGGGTGCCCGGGGGTGCCCGGAGGTGCCAAGGGGTGCCCGGAGGTGCCCGGGGGTGCCCGGGTGCCTCGGGGTGCCCGGGTGTTCTATCGCCCTATAGCCCTATAGCTCTATAGCCCTATATCCCTATAGACCTATAGACCTATAGCCCTATAGCCCTATAGCCCTGTAGCGTCAATAGCCCTATGGCCCTGTAGCCCTATAGCCCTATAGTCCTTATGCCCTATAGCCCAATCGCCCTATAGCCCTATAATCCTATAGCCCTTATAGGCCTATAGCCCTATAGCCTTATTGCCTTGTAGCCCAACAGCCCTATGTTGCTATAGCCCTATAGTCCTATAGCCATAGCCCTATGGTCCTATAACCGTATAGCCCCATAGCCCTACAGCCCTACAGCCCTAAAAATATTATGATTGTTTTTTTTTCTCCAGTATCATTTTGTTTCAGATTATGACACGTCGCGCATCCCCACCAGGCCAGTCAGAAACAGTTTGCCAAGCGAGCTGAAGCGCTGTTGTGAGAGGTTCCTGGGGCTCTTTTGGAGCCATCTTGGGGCTCTCTTGAGGTCTTCTTGGGGCCGTCTTGGGGCTCCTTGGGGGCCATATTGGCGTCCTCTTTTCAGGAGGGGAAAAAACACAGACACAATTAATCGTCGATTCCTAGGGAAATATGGGAAAATATGGGAAGTGGGGGGGAAGACAAAAACCCAGAAAATATGGGAAAATATGGGGAATCCTGTTATTTGTATGTACTTATTTGTGTGCCCCAGGGCTCCTTCATTGGCCCCCGCAGCTCAAAACGGGGCGGGGTCCTCAATTCAGGTCCTGCCCCGGAGGCTCAAAATTTGCCTCCCGGGGCCTTCTTGGAAAGCTCTTGTGGTTCTCTTGGACTTCCCTTTTCGGGTTCGCGTTTGCGGACCTGCGTGTGGACCGGAAGTTGTGCTTGAAATTGCGGCCCCCTCCTTGGGCAGCGCGTGTCCGTCCTTGACATTGCCCGCTCGCGCGGATGCGCGCGAGGCTGTTTTCAACAAGTAGTTGTTGTTTTGGCGTCGGCCACGAGGACGGGTTGACGCAACATCCAGCGTTGGAATCTTGCACTATAGCTATCTATAGTTTCGACCAGGAAAGTTTTCAGGTCTTCGCACCCGAATGGGTCGTTTCGAGCATGGGCGTTGCCGGAACATTCGGGTTTCGCGACCGGGATTGAACAACCATGTCCAGATGGAAGGCGGGAGTTTCGATATAATGAATAGGTTCATGGTTCATGGTTTGTTTCTTTTCTGTCATCGTTGTTCCGCACTAATGTAAGACCGGCAAAAGTGGAGACAAGTCATTCTCACAACGAGGTTTTCGAACGGCACGCACATGGGAGGTCGTCATTCAAATGGGTGCCCCCCGTGATGGAAATCTCTGTTTGCACGGATTTGCGCGACGGGGATTTGGGGCGAGAAGTGTATATCGCAGCTTCGCGTCGTGTTTCCAATTGTTACTGGCCCCAGTGATCCTCCTCGTTCTTCTCTTCCCTTCCCTCTCTCCTTCCCTCCCTCCTTCTTTCCCTCTCCCTTCTGCCTCTCTCCACTCTCCTCGCTACCGTGCCCACCTCCTGTTATCTCCTTTGTTTCCCCCTCTACCCCCCTCCTCCTCCTCCTCCTCCTCCTCCTCCTCCTCCTCCTCCTCCTCCTCCTCCTCTTCCTCTTCCTCTTCCTCTTCCTCCTTCTCCTCCTCCTCCTCCTCGTTTTCATCATCCCTGCTCCTCCTCCTTCTCTTCCTCCTCCTCCTCCTCCTCCTCTTCCTCTTCCTCTTCCTCTTCCTCCTTCTCCTCCTCCTCCTCCTCCTCCTTCTCCTCCTCGTTTTCATCATCCCTGCTCCTCCTCCTTCTCTTCCTTCTCCTCCTCCTCCGCCTCCTCCTTCTCTTCCCCCTTCCGTCTCCAAGCCTCCTCCTTGCTCTCCCTTGTCCTCCTCCCCCCCCTCCTTCTGGCTTTCACGCCTCCCCCATCCAGCCTGGCTCATCCTGCCCCCTCGCCGCGCCGAGGCGCTGTCTCGCAGCGCGGCGCGTCGCCCCTGAGCCAGGCAGCGTCGGACCTGCGGGACGGCGCGGGCGCGGAACCTCTTGAGGAGGAGGGGGAGGCGGAGGAGGAGGGGGAGGAGGAGGAGGAGGAGGAGGAGGAGGAGGAGGAGGAGGAGGAGGAGGAAGAGGAGGAGGAAGGGGATGAGGAGGAGGAGGAGAAGAGGGGGAGGGTGAGGAGCAGGAGCAGGAGAGGAAGAGGAAGAGGAAGAGGAGGAGGAGGAGGAGGAGGAGGAGGAGGAGGAGGAGGAGGGGGATGGGGGATGGGGGAGGGGCAGGACGAGGACCATGACGAGGACGAGGACGAGGACGAGGAGGAAGAAAAGATGACAATATCGCGGCCTGTCTGGCGCCACGGCAAGATTCGCCCCAGAGTCCTGGCTAGAGGGCGCCCCAAGGAGAGTCGGAGGCCTCCCCCCAGAGGGATCGAGGCAGGGAGCAGCCAGACGTTGTGGTGTTCAGCGCTTTGGTGTTCGTGCGGGTGGTGGGTTGGCCTCGTGGTCTCGATGCTTGCGGTGTCGGCCGAGCGAGCACTGCGCTCGGCTGGCACGGGTTCGTCGGCGGCTTTGCGCGCTCGCTGCGCCCAAGGATCACTGCGCCGTCGTGGCAGGCTGCTACGACCGCGCAGTGCCCCTCGGGCGTTTTGCCCAGGGCTGCTCTCCCGGCTGGCCAAACCGCGAAGGCGAGCGAGACACCGATGCCGCTGTCCGTCCCTCGTCACCGTGGCCAGATTTGCTCGTGGGATCCTGGGCGCCGCAGGGGATGTCCGAAGCGCGGCGGTAGTTTTATGTGCATGATGATGATGATGATGATGATGATGATGATGATGATGATGATGATGATGATGATGATGATGATGATGATGATGATGATGATGCCACTGCTGATGCTGATACTGGTGCTGATGCTGATGATGAGATGAAGAAGATGAAAATAATGATGATGGTGATGGTGATGATGATGTTGATGATGATGATGATGATGTTGGTGCTGGTGATGGTGCTGGTGCTGGTGCTGATGGTGAGGGTGACGATGGTGACGATGGTGACGATGGTAATGATGGTAATGAGGGTGATGATGGTAATGATTGTGATGATGATGGTGATGGTGGTGATGGTGGTGGTGGTGATGGTGATGGTGATGGTGATGATGATGCTGATGATGTTGCTGCTGCTGTTGATGATGATGATGCTGATGCTGCTGCTGATGATGACGATGACGATGACGATGACGATGACGATGATGATGATGATGATGATGATGATGATGATGATGATGATGATGATGACGACGACGACGACGACGAC